TTTCTCACAAATGTCTGGGCCATTTGTAAAAACCTTAGATGACATGTTCTCGATGCTAGCGGGTGGTTTACATGAGCGAGACCGCAGATTCGTTAATTATCCTTTGTTCGATCCATTACGATTTAGTCACAGTCGGAATGTAGTAAACATGGCGCGAATATCATAAATTCTTGGCACTTTGTCTCAAAAGTCCGGCTGTCAACCCGTAAGTACCCAGCGCAATCGTGCACACCTGATCATAACAAGAAGGTGGACGTAACTGATTCAGGTATATCACATGTGTAGTGTTACTTCTGCGAACTGCAAACATAAGGCAACCTACGTGTTTACTGTAGCCAAGGCTTTTGAAACGTATTCTAACCCTACGCAATACGTTTTTGAGGCTAGGCCTACTGTGTATTTGTGCGATGCACAATACACCGTTGACATCTAACACTTGCGCATCCGCTTAGCCTAAGGTTCAAACGGTCAGGAGCGTTCCATCCAGAAAGCGCGAGTAATAATGCCGGCGAACAATGGCCGTTAACGGTAGTGCGACGGGGCTGCTCAAGACGATCGTATTGTGCTTAAGAAGACTTTTATAGCTACTGCATTGACCAATAGATTTAAATTATCAAGCTTGTCATGTATCACTGCGGTCTATCCATTACTCGGCTCTATTCCCTGCTCGTGCACTGTGTCTCGACACAAAGGTGATCGACCTGCGCGTATGCAGGCAATAACGCATTCGAATATAACAATATGCGATTTACTCGCACATCCGGGTCTCGTGGAGATGCGTAACTAATGGCGCAGAACATAGGCGCAGAACTGTCAATGGGTGTATGGCGTGCGCGCTGTGTTGCAGCTCGGTGTATTGGACGGTATTGAAGTGAAGTTATTAGATCAAATCAAACATTAAGACTATTACTATTAGTATTAGTATTAGTATTACTGGTACTGGTACTGCATGGTAGGTCTAGTACTGACAAGTTGTATTTATTAACCACCATTTTATTATTGAAACGGCCCAAGTGCCTGTGGAAATACAAATAGTTACCTCGGGTACATATATTATACGACAACGACCCTTCGTGCCATACTATTACTAATACTATTACTATTACTAATACTAATACTATTAGTATTAGTAATACTAATAGTATTACTATTACAGTATTAGTATTATTAGTATTATTAGTATAGTAAATTAATACTTACTTAGTAAAATTGTTAGCGTGTGTAAATAATACTATTATATATTTTATACCTAAATTTATCGTGATCAAGTGGATTTCCATCACTACTCAGCAAGTTTCCAATGTCCAATTCGACATCTATATCTTTTTCGACTGCTGTAGTCTTATATTTTGTTTCTTTTTCAGCATTTCGTTGCAAAACATCACTCACGAAATCCATGATTACCCACGCGACAATATAGTGCTGCCATCTCACGGCCAGGCCCGACACTGGCAACATCGTTGCATGCACGATAACGATATAATATTATTATTGTATCAGAAGTAGATAATAGGGATTCCCTATTATCTACTTTGATTGTATCAAGGAACACAATGTAAATAAGTGTACTAGTCATTCTTTTTGTGTATATATCATTGGTAGTTAGTTATCTAATTTCATAAATTCAAAATATATTGTAAAAGTATGTTATGTGGATAAATATCTAAATAAGGGTAACTAAAAATAAATAATAGATACGATATATATACTCATGAGTCCTGTACATTCTAGAGCCCTTATATTCATGAGCCATTCTATTTTAGTTCTATATGGTCCTGTACTAATAGCTATACTATATGAGCTTGTGAGGCTACGCGCGTATATATATGCCCGCGTATGGTTCACGTCCACACATGGTAAAACACGTATAGATGCGGGCTTTAACTATATTCCTATTTGCAGGCCAGCATGACGTAAATATTTCGTTCTTTGCTTGCACTTAATGATACATAACAATCAGAAAATCATTGTTATAGAGATAAGAACCATACATAACAAATAAAAACGCCCATGTTCTAAATCTATGTAGGTACATGCGAAAACACAGGGACACACCACCGGAATTATGTAGTGACGTGCCGGATGTAACTGCCGTGAGAAATTTTCGCTGACTGTTTACTTTTAACTTATTGCTTCAGGCGAAGAAAGACTAATTAGAGTTATTCTTTACGATGAGTGACACGTACGCTTATTGACTCTTTCGTCGGATACTAAACGAGATTGAAATTTATTTAAATGAATAGTTAAAACAATTACTCGTGGTAATAGTAAACTGAAAAAACAGTGCTAATCTGTCAATCACTTTGATCGCTGTTACAGTCTCTTCTTCCTCGTAAACAGTCCATTGGACCGTAGAGAATATTCTTTATGCGGTTATCGCGGTAATAGTTTTGGACTTTGCAACCCTATACGAAAAAGGATCGAAAAAATGTATCGCATTATTGCGTGACAACAGCTTATATTATAATTAGAAAACAATGGCTTAAATTCGAATTTTATTAAGTGTCGCTCCGTTTCTCAAGTCACGGTTTCTCAGTAACCTTTTCAGTGTGCATGTCTTTATCCACTACGCCGGTCACACAAGCCATCTTCGATAAGGGAAGAATATAAACCGTTTGGACTTCGCCAAAAGCTTGCAACGAAGCCTAGTCATCGATGGACGACGGGCTCACGAATTTGAACTGGTTACCTGGCCTCGATGCCATGGGGATGAGCCCGCAAGGGGAACGAAGCTATGAGGATTCATCGCCGAAATCCGCATCAGTAAACGACTCCGAACACCGAGTACATAATTAAGTCATTTTGTCACGTATAGGCGTATTATAGGTTCGACTAGCTATAACTCCAACGGGGGGTGGTACACATAACAGGTTGTCGCATGAAACAGAGGCATTCTATCACGGACGTTGATAATATAATTTTATTTCAGCTGGCAGCAGCAACATCGCCGACTCCTCAGCAGACGGTGACGTCACCGTTCAATGACGTTACGGCGACGTTTTCGTTCAGTAACGCGGAGTACAAAAATAGCGCATCGGTGAAGCCACCGTTCTCCTACTCACAGCTGATCTTCATGTCGATGGCCGAATCGGGAAAGGGCAAAGTGACTCTGCACGAGATTTACACTTGGATCGCAAACAACTTTCTCTACTATAAACAAGCAGAATCCACGTGGCAGGTTAGCTAGGCTCGTTACTTTTACTACCTTCACTCATCACTTATTAAGGCTAACCCGTTAGGATATGCCGCATGCCGCATGGTATCCACGATTATGTCATATATATGTTAGCAACGTGTGAGATAACCACATTATTATTATTATTATTATTATTGTGAGTGTAATTAGTATTAACCAGATAGACCGTATCGTGTGGTGTGAGTGCGTATACGTGCGCGTACGTGTTTGTGAACCTGTGTGCGTGAGTGCGTGCGTGTGTGTGTGCGTGGGGGCATGCGCGTGCGTGTTTGTGAACCTGTGTGAGTGAGTGCGTGCGTGTGTGTGTGCGTGGGGGGCATGCGCGTGCGTGTTTGTGAACCTACGTGAGTGAGTGCGTGCGTGTGTGTGTGCGTGGGGGCATGCGCGTGCGTGTTTGTGAACCTGTGTGCGTGAGTACGTGCGTGCGTGCGCGCGTGTGTGGGCATGTGCGTGCGTGTACGGGCGGATATGAGTGGTTTAAACGATTAGATTTAGTGTGAGAGACGTTCACATGTCAACAAAGATTTACAGTATATCTTTTCTTTCTTGTTGAAACCAGCCTTACATGGTGTGTGTTGAATAATGGAAATGTGTTTGACAGACATTTTACATTGCAACATGTGTGTGATGACTGAACAGATCTCCTTTTCTCTGTTTGAAACCATTTGAGCACTGAACGTCTATGAAAAACTAATAAAATTGCATGTGTTACACGTTTTACATGTTTGATATCGACGCATTTTTACATGATGATATATACATTTCTTCCGATTTACTCCGCAGAATTCGGTACGCCACAACCTGTCGTTAAGCAAGTGTTTTGTAAAGTTGCCGCGCGACATGGACCAGCCAGGAAAGGGCGGATGCTGGTCGTTAAACCCACGACACGTGCACATCTCGCCGGACGGTAGAATGAACTTAGTGAAACCGTCGATGGCGATTGATGCCTCACCAGCGCGGCGCAACCGACGCAGCTACTACAAGTACCCGATGCCTTGTTTCTCGCCGAGCAAGAACGCAGAGGAGACGGCGGCGTTCGAGACTCTCAGCTGCGGGCAGCTGCTGCAGACGATCAGGAGCGAGAACGCTCGCGAGCGGGACAGCGCAGACGCCGTGACGCGCGCCGCCCAGCGGTTCAAGAACGAACTATTCGCGGAGATGTCCGACGAGGTGTAGATTTCGACTTAGTTCTACCGTACAGCCGCGGACTTGCCTCAACAGACCTGGAGTTCCGGTTATATACTACCGGCCTGGGTTTGCTTACCTGCTACTACAGCCCTCGCCCTGTTATCCCAACCCTGGGTTTGCTATCAAAGCCCAGGGTTCGCTATCAAAGCCCTGGGTTCGCTACCACAACCCTGTACTTGCTACCACAGCCGCCTTTGCTACTACAGCCTTGTCCCCACTACCGCAGTCATGTGCCTGCTGCAACAGCCCAGGGCCCAGGGGCGTGTACAGGATTTGGACCAGGAGGGGTCTAACCGTAATCCATACTTGAGAGCACGCAAAGAAAAATTTTGAAATTAGACCCCCTCAGATGCGTTTTCTGCGCGAGCAGGGGGGGGTCTGGACCCCCCCGCCCCCTGTACACGCCCCTGAGGCCTGCTACCACAGCGGCGTTTGCTGCTACAGCCCTAAGCTGGCTGCTACAGGCATGTGGATGCAATGCCGATGCTGTACGGTAGATACGATTCCGACGTACACCACTGCATCACGAGTATCGGCTAGCCATTCTCCCGTGCAATCTACACGTCTCTACTAACTGTGCACTCACAGTGTATTTACTCTCCGCAGCTATACATTCTTGAGCACAGAATTTCTTACTCCTCACGGTTACCTGGAACCCGGTAACAGTGTCACCGTCTTTTCTATGCCCTATTGTCTTATTTTTTTGTTTTTATTGTATTATTGTCTTATATTGTTTCAGGTGATTCGATCTTCGAGTCACGCCGACCCACTTCTGGTGAAGGGTCGAGTGGGTGCGGGCGAAAGAGACATGAGGACGCCTCCTGCCATGTGGTGGGACGTCATTGAACCAGCGCCATCCACACACTTAAGCACCACAGCGGACTCAGACAGTGACGACAACGTAGTACAGTATTTCAATGTGGATGCATCAATATGGGAGGACCACAGTCAGACGACATCTGCATTTCAGTAATTACCTCACATTTATTGTACATAGATACGAGTTGTGAGATAGAACTCTCTAAGACTTTTGTTTAAACTATTTATCTGGTATATTAGATATTAATGATCAAACTGAAAAATAAAATAAATAACATCACCTATATGTTGTGATCATCAACATTGTTTTCTATGAAATACACAATCATTACATTGAATGAGTTGATTATTCTATATACGTCAGGCAAAAATGATAAGAAACATACAATACATAATGGACTCTTCAGGTTTTAGATAAAATAAATAGCAATTACTAGCTATCCTCTTTCCTGCGAATGTTTTGCGCACCAGACGCCAATTTTCTCTTTTTAAAAACAATCTTAGACGTGCTGCCACCAGGTGGTGCTAGTGATGTTACAGTTTTTTCTTTATAGGAAACAGAGCGTTTTGCCGGTTCTGTAAATTCTGGAAGTATCATTTCAGATGGCTTGACGACTGGTAGTTGTAGATCCATCAATGGCTCTGGTTCTCTATAAAATTAAACGAAATTACTGTGTACTACCAATACTACATGTGCATAGCAAATGTGGTGTTCAAGAAAGGATAATTGGGGTTAATATTCTCTGGGCACATTTGGAGTTTAGTACACGTTGCGCAGTACACTTTAATGAACTGTGCAGTGAGTATTTAGCAACATAATATTATTCCAGTATGTCCAGATTATCAAAACCTCCCTACCACATCTGTCTGTTACAACGTCATACAAGATTACCAATCATAGGCTGATATTCTGTCAAGACATTTCATACTCCTCTCTCTGTGTTTGAGTTTTAGATCAGACGATGCCTATCATTAGCTTCCCTTACCCATCACAATGCAATGAATGATGCTGATAAGCTATGAAGTGACAATATATAAATCTTACGGTTCTTCTATGGTTTCCCAAGCGCCATAAGGACCTTTCTTCACAGTACTCTTGCCTTTGGATGAGGTCGAGCTGCCACTTTCACGCTTAGCTTCTTTTTTGCGACGCTTTGTCGACACAGGCTGTAGAATAATAAGAAATAGTACAGCATGAGACCAGAATGCAGACAGAAGGAGATGCGGATGTGCGACCTGTCATGGGACACGCTGAGACCAGTAGCAGTCGACAGATGACGTTGGAGATCTCTTGTCACTGCCTTATGTGCCATCTAGGCACCTACAAGGGATAACAAAGCGCGCACCAACTGCATTAGTAAATTAAATCAGGTGTGGTAGTCTTTAAAAGTAGAGCTACACTAATGTTTGATACAACCATTCATACCTTGGCTGGCTTGACTTCTTTTTTGCTGTCAGCTGCCTCAGTGGTTGGCAATTCCCATTTGGTTTCTGTAACAATTTGAACAACTAGTTATTTATTACTATAATGATTTTGTATCACAGGATTTATAAAAAGTATTTAATAAATAAAGATTTAAAATTGATCATTTCATTTATATAAACCTGTGCCATACATGGTAGAGTTTAAACTTACACCATATATGCTAAATTATATGTGGGCTTCATCAGGCCAAACTAAAGCTTGGCAGATGATAACGCATGTACTGACAGTGATATGCTACTAGGGCTGTATACCCAGCACACCAGGCACCAGGGCAGTAACACCAGAGCATATAAATTAGTGATTTATATGCTCTGGTAACACTCCACAGTATATAGCGTAGTGCCGCCATCTATTGGAGGAAAAAAGTGGTATCGAAGTGGAATCGAAAATACGGGGAAAAATATCGAGGATCGGATCCAGGGAAGAGAATCTCGATCCGATTCGATTTCAGTGGATTGTTACAGCCCTATATGCTACCTCTTGTTTTTTCATTCCAGTAATATGTATAGCCTTCTGATGTTTGTGCCTCCTGCCAATCTGAGAGGTCTACAGCCTTTCCAGTATTTTCACATTTTTTAGCTGTTTCTACTTGAATATTTGTCCGCAAGTCATCGTCTGTATACAGGAAATTACACAAACATTTCGTTCAAATTCAGTCTTAAACAAGTGGTACATGTAACTCGTTAAGAATGAACTAGAATTACCTACAGGTTATCAGTTGTATAGAAAATCTGAAGATTATCTTATTCATACGTAACACCTTCACAGTACAACAATATTATCAGTTACTACATGGATGGATACATATTATATGTGGCACTTATAGCTATGTGATAAGGTTAATACTAATTAATAGTAGGAATTTGCCAGGTGTTCTAAAATTCTTCTTTATAATGGATTAAGGATGATGACTAGAAAGCTTGATTGCCTGATGGGTATACCTTTCTCTGCAACAGTTTCCTTGTTCAGCTTCATGCCATAAGCAGCAGCAAGGGAAGGATCATTGCTGATGTCGTTTTGCACTGCTGCTAGGGCAGCCTGAAATGCAGACAATAAACAATTCTTTGAGTGGCTGAACCATTTTCTGGGTTTAGATTAGAGTAATAAATGTAGATCGCAGTCAGGAGTAATAAACACAGTATATATCGGATATCTGCTAACACAACAACCACAATACCCGGATGTAGGCAAAGCTTTACTACTCTATGGGTAGGTGGCAGCACCTGATGGTGGTGGTTAATATATGAATTATTGAGTATAACACAGTGGGCCCTAGATGGATAGGAGAATCACAAGGACGAATATAAACTTACCTAATATTAAAGAACCATTCTGAAATGACTGTTGATTATTCACACACAACCAGTACATTTATTATCACATTCAGAATGAATACTCTTGGACCTTTACTAAGTATGCCATGCAGCATATTTTATGTCAAACTCCACGACAAATGGCGCTCTCGTACTGGCTCAATTCACCACTGCCACAAGTAGATTTCCGTGAGAATTTCTAACGCTTACACGTTACAAGTTACACGTATCCTGTGTAATAAGATTTGTACTAATAAAAGTTGCAAAGATATTAAAAATCCGACCATTATTTCATGAAAAATTTGATGAAATAGTGATAAGAAATAGTAAGCGGATTGTGCGCCCATTTACCTCTTTCAAATCATACGCTGTTTACGAATCGCCATTCGCTGGATTTCCCCGGAGCTCCGCCCACTTTAAAAATAGTGCTAGCCTTGTGGCAGTGGTATCCTGAGTTGTACGAAGGGGGCACTGCATGCAGTTTGATTTTAGGTATGTGTCTGTGCTGTTGTGCCCTGTACCAAAGAAATTAGCAATAAATTACTAATGAAAAATTTAGCTACAAGTGAGCACTTACAGCTTCCATCGTTGCAATGTCATTTTCCTCTTGTTTCTTGGCTTCATAAACTTCCTGGCCTTTCTTTCGCACCTATTAAAATTTAAGGTACGATCATTTTAGATCAAAGCATGCCTTTTCCCTTATTACATGTAGTTCAAATTGAAAGGCCACAGAGCACAATTGTCAAGTCACAGTCTATATAAAACACAATACACACCTCTGAGATTTTTATTTTTACATTCTCCTGATGTCTCTTTCCTCTTTCGTGGAAGTCTACACTCTGGAAATTAAAAAAGTAACCTATAAAATACATAAAAGTGATGCCAGCTTGCTATGGTTCGCCAACAAAAATGGCTCATTAGTCATAAAACTTCCATACCCTGTCGTTCCGAAATGCAAAATGTTTGCATATAGTATTAAGGGTGTGTATATTTTTAGGGCATGTGAGCCACCAGTATAATGGAAAGTATTACAACATTATCATTATGATTACTGTTGATCAAATTTATAGTCTGGAATGCAAACCCAGTGGCAATAGCTCGACCTATGTGACTATGTTAACACATTACGATCTTCTGGTGGCAGTGGTGCATAAATGCCATGATTACTGTTTATTGGAGCTATGGACTTGGGTGACCAAACTACTGCACAGACACTAAAAAGGATGTATTTATAGATTCATAAAAACATGTAATCTACTTTTTACACCGTCTTGTTGTCTAAGTTTAAGAACAACATCTATTTACAGGCTTATTGTCTGTTATCCAACATTTGCAGAATTCACAAAACTTGCGTGGTGTAGATATCCAATATTCTGTCCTGAAATGAACAATAAAAGAAAATAAACAAAATTACTAAAGGTGATTCACTGATTGCACTTTTTAATTTTAGACATTTGACATACATTACATACACTGATATACAGTGCCAGTGCGGCCTGTCAGTGTCACTGACACTGTGCCTGTGGCTCATAGGGTCTATGTCCTCCAGGGTACTGCCGGAACGTACCCTGGTAACTATCTAGCTGATATGGTTAGTGTTAGGGTTAGGGTTATGGAGTAGGCGTAGGCGACTCCCTAGACTCGTTAGTGGAGTAGGCGAGGTACGGTCTGGCATATTAGATAGTAGTGTTTAGTACCAGGGTACGTTCCGGTATACCAGACCGTACCCAGGGTACGTTCCGGAAGTATCCCGGGGAACATAGACCCTCTCAGCCACAGGCACTTGGAACGTCTCAATAAAAAAAATTAATGGTAAATAAACACGAAATGTACCATAGTCTTAATGTTTCTCTACTCTATTTTGCCTATAATCACCTGTAAATGCTCATCTGCAACACGCAAGTACACCGCACGCCCGCGCTGTGCACAAACAACATGAATAAGAGAGCAGGTAGGAAAGCGTGATCGCAAAATTCGCTCGACGCTTGCTTCATTTCACACCTTCACAGAACAAATACACATTCAATAGCTACCATCTTGGTATCCATGTGTACAGAAATGTTCACTTGTTCGAATTATAACTCTGGCCTTTGTTCTTATACCTACTCCCGCCAGAAATATCTCGTGAAATCCTGCACGAAATGTGCTCTCCGTGAAAATGTAGAGAGGACGACATGATCCGAAAATCCCTAACGGCGCTACTTTCGATCGATCGCTGTAGTCGTGTGTGCGTGCCGTCATGCCCGCGCGCATTGTGCTTGGCTTGGCAAGCCTCGAAATGGAGCTCGGAGGCCGGCAGCAGCTCAACCCGGCATGCAATGCGCCCCATTACTCGTGTATAAACAGACATTTCGTCCTCTTTCCATTTTCATGGAGAGAACATTTCCTGCAGGATTTCACGAGATATCTCTGGCGGGAGTAGGTAAGAACAAAGGCCAGAGTTATAATTCGAACAAGTGAACATTTCTGTACGCATGGATACCAAGATGGAAGCTGTTGGATGTGTATTTGTGCTGTGATTCGTGAAGGTGTGAAATGAAGCGAGCGTCGAGCGAATTGTGCCATCACGCTTTCCTACCTGCTCTCTTATTCATGTTGTTTGTGCACAGCGCGGGCGTTCGGTGTACTTGCGTGTTGCAGATGAGCATTTGACTGGCATTTACAGGTGATTATAGGCGAAATAGAGTAGAGAAACATTCCGACTTTGGTACATTTCGTGTTTATTTACCATTAATTTTTTTTATTGCGACGTTCCAAGTGCCTGTGCCTGTGGCTGTGCTCTCAGCGTCACTGTGAGGCCGTGAGGGTTCAAGGATAGAGAACATGAGTCCCAATAAAACCAATGTCATTTACATCAATATAAATACAATATTATATCAATATAATTAATAGGTTAGGGTTATGGTTATGGTTAGGGTTAGGGTTAAGATTAGGGTTAGAATTAGGGTTAGGGTTAGGGTTAGGCACATTGGTTTTATTGGGACCCATGTTCTCTATCCTTGGGCCCAGTGTTTTGTTTATTTTTTGGCTGACACTCACAGTCACAGTGACAGAGGCCAAAAAATAAACAAAACACTGCACCTAACGATTTCATTTCTAAATACAAAACAACCACTGTACTCACATGTTGCTTGGTAACGTAAGTCATAAAACGTAGGTTTCAATGTAACCGTAATTAGATAGATTTATGATAAACGTTGCGAAATTGTAGTACAAAATCTAAAATTATAACGTGTAGTTGAAAGTTAAAACACCGCCACACAACATCGGGTTAGGGAGCGGGAGAGGAGTGAAGATGGTAATTGGCCCTGTACTTAACGCCTCACAGACGCCATATTTGATTCATTCGCAGGCGATTCCACTACGCAAGTGCATCAGCGCCACACTCAAGCGCCGCACTCAAGCTACACATGCATCTATGCACATGTATAATGCATAGACTTATGTATGCATAAACTTACTGTAACCCATCGTTAATTAGCCTATTTTATAATTTTTTAACGCATACACATGCACAGAATGTACATCTAAGTTGTAGTGTTATGGAGGTCCAAGCCCCAATCGAAATAGATCGATGCGGGTATATGACTTCTTTGCTTCTTTTCATTGCTCATGCATGTATACCCGTGGTTTATTGTTATTATTATTATTATTATTATTATTAAATATTTATTGCATATAATTCGAATACAAGTACATGTACATGTACTGAAAACAGTTTTTCACGGAGAAAAAATCCAGTGAATGCAATAGTGCAAATAATGCGATGATGCAAATAGCAAGTAATAGTGCAATCATGAATGGGAAAATAATAATTATAATATCAGGAGTAGATAATAGACTACTATTATCTACTCCTGATAATATAGTATTTACAACACCTTCTGTATGTGTGTGTAAAGTGATTACGTGTACTGTTAAACCATTTTTGCACGCACATACGTACACACGCGCGCTCTTGCTTTTAACCCCCCCCCCGTCACACACACACACACACACACACACACACACACACACACACACACACACACACACACACACACACACACGCACGGTGGGGGCGCGACACGACACCACACTATAATTCTTTCTCCTCTCTCTCTCTCGCCTCCTCTCTCTCGCCTCTCTCCCTCTCTCTCTCTCTCTCTTCTCGTCTCTTCTCCTCTCTCTCTCGTCTCTGCTCTCCTCTCTGCTCTCTCTTTCTCTCTCTCTGCCTCTTTCTCTTTCTCTTTCTTCTCTTTGTCTCAATTGAATTGCATGAGATCGATCAAGTTGGCAATCGCTCCTTGTGAGTTAGCGCGCATGTTCAAGCGGTGTTCCGCAGTTCTCCTCTACTGTCTGTCCGTTCGGGCGTCAACTCCTTCACTAGCTAGAAACTGCCAATCACGGGTGGCCCTTGCTGCTGTTCACCAGAGTAGCACTAATCCTGTCCTACGATTGTTTGTTCACCGTTTATACTATCTTCTGGCGTTGTTGTTGTGTGTTGTCGGTGTCGTGTGTTATATTGTGTGGTCGTTGTTGCATTGTTTGTGTGTACTACTGATGCCCTGTGATAAAACGCCGTGTCTCTGGCTGGGGCAACTATAGTATGCTAGGAACGATGAACATTACACAGAACTGATGCATACTACAGACTTATTGTGTCTGCTTCTAGCAGGTCACTCAGCCTTGTATTATACCGGCGCTTCCGCGTGTCGCAGATCTCGAGTTCATAAACGCGGTCAGTTTTCGTAACCCGGTGGAATGACTGTTCTAGTGCGAGTGAAACTGTATTCGCCACAAGTGTTTCTGCCGCCATAAGAACACGAATGAACTCTGGTGAACGCCGCGGACCGAGGGAGGAGAGAGAGAGAGCGAGACGAGCAGAGAGAGAGAGAGAAGAGGGAGAAGAGAGAGGAAGAGAGAAAGAGAGAGAAAGAAAAAAGAGAGAGAAAGAGAGAGAGAGAGAACGAGAGAAAGAAGAAGAGATAAGAAGATGAAGTTGAACAGCGGCGACATCCCAGCAGCTAGCGGGGGTTTCGGCGCTTTGTAAAGGCGCCTATCACCATAGATTAGTGAGAGGGAGACCCCGTTACTGAACATGCTTTCACGGAGCCTTAGTAGGTGCTCAGGCAGCCAGCGACCCGTAGCTTCAACAGCTTCACACAAACACCTTTTTTCAGCTTCTAATGAACAGCAAATTAGGGGAAATTAAGTAATGGCGAATTACACTGCTCGATTGTTAAGTGAGATTACATTGCCAACTTGTGTTTAGTGGCGAATTCCGAATTGTACAAACTTCGCCAAACTTCGGCAATCTGCACAATCAGCGAGTGTAAACGTCAAAGTTGGCGCGTGCCACGCATCCGATAGCAGACTAGTTGGGAGACTTAGAACATGTTCTAACACATTCGCCCTCATCAACAGTGTGTCGCACGTACCATGCGCACGGTGAGGGTGCGGCGGGACTAGCGCGACGAGTATAGAGAGGTGTGTGCGTACATCACGAAAGACTTCATATTTGAACAAGGCTCTGAGATCAAGTGGAATGGAACTAAAGAGAAAGCGATGTGAGCGAGAAAGAAGAGCAGCGAGAGAAGAGAGAGAGAGAGAGAGAGAGAGAGAAAGGAGAGAGGAAAAGAGAAAGAGAAGAGGAGAGAGGAGAAGAGAGAGAGAGAGAGAGAGATGAAAGAGAGAGAGAGAAAGAGAGAGAGAGTTGAGAAAGAGCGAAGAGAAGAGAGACGAAGAGTGAGAAAGAGAGAGAAGCAAAGAGAGAGCAGAGAGAGGATGAGAGAGATGAGAGAGATAAAGAAAAACGGAGACGAGACAAGGAGAAGAAAGAGAGAGAGAGAAGAGTTAGAGAGAGAGAGAGGACGAGAGATGAGAGACGGAGACGAGAGGTGAGAACGTTAAAAGTGTCTATCCACCCTGCAATGGCCGAGGACCCTTGATTTCTCCGATGGTTGATTCAGTTGCTGTATGTGTATACGTGGTTCAGAGCGAGGTGAGACCGGAACTAGAGAGAAGCGTGGCAGCGAAAGCGGTCACTGTGAGATTTTATGCGAGGTATCACTGGCATCTGTGTGTTGGTCTTAATAAATGTGGCGTATGTATGAATAATCGCGTGTATCGCTGTGAGTCAATAGTAAGACAGTGAGGAAAGAGGTGAGATGAATATGGCAGAAGAGAGCGGAGAGAAAAAAAAAAAAAAAAAAAAAAAAAAAAAAAAAAAAAAAAAAGAGAGCGACGAAAAGCAGAGAGAGCAGAGAGAGGAGAGAGAGAGAGAGAGAGAGAGAGAGCGGCGCTCCAAGAGACAGAGAGGAGTAGGAGAGGAGAGGCTCGAGACGAGAGAGAAAGAAGGAGAGCGAATGAGAGAGAGAGAGAGAGATGAGAGAGAAGAGAGGGGGGAAAGGGCGGTCTCCAGAAGGGGGACGAGAGGATATATCGAAAGAGACAGAGACGAGATGAGAGAGAGAGAAAGAGAGAAAAAGAAAGAGAGAAAGAAGAAGAGGCAGAAGAGACATAGAGAGAGAGAGAGAGAGAGAGAGAGAGAGAGAGAGAGAGAGAGAGAGAGAGAGAGCAGAAGAAGAGACAGAGGTAAGACAGAGATGGGAGAGAGAGAAGAGAGAGAGAGAGAGAGAGAGAGATGAAAGCAGAGAGGGACGAGAGAGGCAAGAGAGAGAGAGAGAGAGAGAGCAAAAGAGCAGAGAAGCGCAGCGGCGGACGAGAGAGTCTAGAGAGATGAGTGAGAGGAGAGAGAGCCGTGAGCGAAAAGTGAAACAGAGAGAAAGAGACGAGAAGAGCAGAAAGAGAGAGAGAAGAGAGAAGAGAGAGAGAGAGACACCGTGTATGGCGCGGCGCGCGCATGTGTGTATATCTGTCCACATGTCCATCTGTGTATTGCAGATCACTCACGTACACCTGTTATACACGGGGGAGGTACACCGTCGCGCACGTACCGGCGCACGTGCACATTGAGAGAGGTCGGCATTCACGACAATGGACCAAATCAATGGGAACCCCTCCAGTAATCCTTGCCCTCGTGCATCCCTGACTCTGCGGACGCTGTGCATGCACGAGTTTTTGCGCCTGTGCGTGCGGTACCTCCGCGAATTTATACATGCAATAATGCCATCGCCCCATGCAATAAATCCATCGCTCAACGCGTACGCTCGCGGTCGACACTGACCGCTCGATCGAGTTGGCCAACTCGCAATCGTCAGCGTAAACGCGCTGCACCGTTCCTAGAACGGTTGATAGAGCGTTGGGAAGTTGGTCCAATTCGCCAATTCGCCAACACAAAGTCGGCAGTGTAAACCCAGCTTGTAGTGAATTGTTCATGAATCTATGTTTCGTGTTTTTCCTTGGTTTCGGGTATTGGTATTATGCATTACGGGAGAGATCCCGGGTGAGGAAGAATTGGTCATGACGCCACGGTGAACCCGCCAGGGTTGCTGAATGAGCTCGTGGTTACCATCGGCATTCGCTTGTCTTTTGGATCTCATCCGTGTGTCCTTAGGATGTCCTTGTGAGGTTTCTTGCATGTTGATGGATTGGATAAGACTGCGATATTGAATTTCTCATCAGTTGAATCAGTAAAATACGTGTAATGCGAAATTTGATATTGATCACAATATAGATCGTGTATATGCACATATATAAAAAAACACGTGTCGGAAAAAATTCTGCACATTCTGTTCGCTTATCACTTTTAATTAATTTGGTTCTCCCCCCCCCCCACACAGTTTAATCGTTATGGCCCAGCAACGTATTTCCACTGCGCATATTCTATATGCATGTGGAAACATCGAAAAACAGAACACTAATTTTGTTCGGATATTTTCATATTTATTGATACACGCAATTCATCGTATATAATTTATATATTAAATAAACAGTATCTTTAAGTGTTTATATAAAAAGGCGAATAATCAGAATACAACCGACATTTGTTACACGGTTATATGGCTATAGTTCTAATATAGCAGCACATGTACGGAACAAAAAATGAGGTTCTGACGAAAAGTATATAGATCGAACTTCCTTACTATTGAATAGAAACACCACCATTTTTTATTTCACAAAATGTATTGTTCCATATTAAAAATTTGTTTAAATCGTGATGTGTTATATTTATAGCACGTAAATTTCCGCTATCCCAACCTCACGTGATATCAAATCACGTGATTGGTTTTACTTCATTTCAACACGTGATACACGTAAAGATGGCTGCAATCATCTATTGCTGTCATTTTGCTTAAGATAGTCAAGGCACTGAATTAAATAGTTAATATATCCGGTCGACATCATGACCAACATTCATATGATATTATTTACACGTGAGAGGGGTAGAAATTATTAGGAAAGGGGTAAAACTATTTATATGACTATTTATACATATTTATCAAATCGATATATAAATAACGCCGTATATGACAGCATAGATCACTTACCAAGTCTAGACCACGTGTAGTTAAACACAAAACTTTCAATGACGTCACTATCTAGGTTTAGTGACCGAGTATAGATATCTTTCCTCCGAACTTTGCCGAGTAATAGCGGTTTTTGCCGAGGCATTTCCGCATCGGATGATCCCAAAAGTTTAATCGGCAGCTGCGATTCATGTGATGTCGCAGCACATGTGTACAGGTAGGGTGTTAATGCGTGGCGCCTACCAAAATCCGGCTAGTTGATACTGGCAACTTTAAAGATAAATTTGGAGCGTTTTACGGTGATATCTAAGTTCCAGACAAAGGCTCTACACTCATGCTAAAAGGAAGACTATGATAAAGACACGCAAAGTTGTGTTTAAATGCAATCGATTAAGAAACCCCCACTTGACCAATATCCGTTTCAGTAACAAGAAACTTTTCAAGCAAGACACTTCTTGTAGATTTTAACACGCACCGAGTGCAAGTGTTGACGTGAAACTTATTTTCGTCACTTCGAGCCTGAAGTTAAACGTAACTAAAGGACGAATGTCAAGTAACGCATCCCACAACATGCAATCTTGTGTATATGGCCACACTTCACATTTGATCTGTGTGCGAATTTTTATATTAGAAACAGGTCATGTATGTTACAAACTAAGAAATTCGCATAGATATTCAACACGAATTCATTTTTACAGCCGCGTCCGGCTGCCCATCATTGCATAAAGATCATGTAATAACATCCTACGCATTATCAGAGATGAAGTGAGTACGTGGGGATATGCAGTACCTTCAGACGACATGTGCGTGACTAGTTGAGGTATAAAGAACTTACTTTCACGCGAGCATTACCCGCGTTGATTGTGCTCCCCGCTAGCGGAGCAAACCGCTGTGGGTTTCAGCTTCTATGGTACTAGGGTTCAAGACTATGGTTTAAGACGATGGTAGTTTGCAGGCACGTTTATGCCATCCCTCGCTACCGTCAACATTCTTATGTCTAGGCTTGGAAGACGCTAAACATGTAGCTGCTTTTGTCTATGTGCAACGCCAAATTGACACCTATCGTACCAAATAGAGTCCCTTAATATCAAAATTAACCTCTATATAGAAATTACCCTCTAGATTAAGGGACTCTAGTAACAAACTGCATGCAGCGCCCCCTGCCACAATTCAGGATATTTGAGCCAGAGCGAGAGCGCCATCTGTCGTGGAGTTTGCTATCGTACATGCCTGAGTTGATTAGGTGCACTAGCATCGAATGCGGCGGTTCACTACACGCTGTAGTCGTGCACCTTGTAGCGTCGAGGATTCGCCGTGGGCACGGCCTGCCTGGGAGGGATACGCTCCATCTCGTACGACGTGTACGGTCGCTGGCGTATCCCTCTCTCCGTTTTCTTTGGCGGCTTTGCCTTCTCGCAGTTGAGAACGAAGAGTCTATACACTTGCAGGATTATCACCAGCGTGTTCTTCGACGTAAAAAATATGTTCATGTAACTGCCGATGAAGAAATGATAGACCGGGTTAAATACACAGTGACTTGCTATATCGCTAAATTAGTCCAAAACATACCCAGTTTAACATAATATTGGGAAAATAAGTTCCCCAGCTGGGACTCGAACCCGGAATCCCGGTGTAGGAGACGGATGTTCTAGCGATTAGGCCACTGCGCTGTTAAGGGTATACATGGATTCACACGTACGTGATGTTAATCTGTACGCACCGCCATCTATTGATGAATAGAATTGTTATGAATTTTTAACTTTTTAACTTTTTTTAACTTTTTGTTTTTCCCAGACGTGCTGATTCTGAAAATATCTTTAGTTTTCCTCTAGGCTGCGGAGTTCTCTAGTAGTACGAACTAATTCGGCTGAACAACTTTATATATATAGATAATTCGGCTGAACAACTTTATATATATAGATAATACGCCCGGTCAAAGCATATTATCTTCAGCTGATATTTGGCACCGGTAAAAATGTTATTTTATAAATACATACTTTATGTATACTTATATATACATTATTAATATGCGGTACATAAATATTTTTTCAAAGATAATAACACAGACCTGATGACATTGAATTTAAAGATGAGGCACAGGCGTAGTCCCAGGAACGGCACGTCTTGGAAGAATAGGTTCATGAGAACGCCAGCGACGTCAGCAGTGCAGCATGTTGCTCGGCAACTAGTGCCGGTAGGTGGCGTTGCTCGTCTTACAGACGCTCCTCGAAACACATAGTAGAGAGGGTTTACAAACGCATACATAATCATAGATACATCATACATAACATGATAACATCATACATAACTGATCATGGTGAACAAACTATGCCCACAATAGCCGTTATGATTTGTGTCCCTTCTCCCTTCGCTGTGTTACAGCTAGTAAAAAGCGTTTTTTCTCTCTCTCTCTCTCTCTCTTTCTCTTTCTCTTTCTCTTTTCTCATTGAATTGCATGAGATCGATCAATTGGCAATGCTCTTGTGAGTTAGCGCGCATGCTTCAAGCGGTGTTCGCAGTTCTCCTCTACTTCTTCGGTTCGGGTCAACTCCTTCACTAGCTAGAAACTGCCATCACGGTGGCCCTTGTGCTGTTCACCAGATGTAGCACTAATCCTGTCTACGATTGTTGTTCACCGTTTTATACTATCTTCTGCCGTTGCGTTGTTGTGTGTTGTCGCGTGTCGTGTGTGTTATTGTGTGTCGTTGTTGCATTGTTTGTGTGTACTACTGCATGCCCTGTGATAAAACGTGTCTCTGGGTGGGAACTATAGTATGCTAGGAACGATGAACATTACACAGAACTGATGCATACTACAGACTTTATTGTTCTGTCTACTACAGGTCACTCAGCCTTGTATTACTGCCGGCGCTCGCGTTACGCAGATTCGAGTTCATAAACGCGTCAGTTTCGTAACCCGGTGGATGACTGTTCTATTGCGAGTGAAACTGTATTCGCCCAAGTGTTTCTGCGCCATAAGAACACCGAATGAACCTGGTGAACGCGCGACCGAGAGAGAGAGAGAGAGAGAGAGAGAGAGAGAGAGAGAGAGAAAGAGAGAGAGAAGAGAGAGAGAGAGAAAGAGAGAGAAAGAAAGAAAGAGAGAGAAAGAGAGAGAGAGAGAGAGAGAAAGAAAGAAAGAGAAAGAGAGAAGTTTGAACAGGGGACACCAGCAGCTAGCGGGGGTTTCGGGCGCTTTGTAAGCGCCTCTCACCATAGTTAGTAGAGGGAGACCCCTTTACTAACTATGCTTTCACGGAGCCTTAGTAGGTGCTTCAGGCAGCAGCGCCCTAGCTTCAACAGCTTCACACAACACCTTTTTCAGCTTCTAATGAACAGCAAATTTAGGGAAATTAAGTAATGGCGAAATTACACTGCCGATTGTTAAGTTAGATTTACATTGCCAACCTTGTGTTTAGTTGGCGAATTTCCGAATTGTACAAACTTCGCAACTTCGCAACTGACAATCAGCAGTGTAAACGCAAAAGTTGCGCGTCCAACCGATCGATAGCAACTAGTTGGGAGATTAGAACATGTTCTAACACATTCGCTCATCAACCAGTGTGTGCACGTACATGGCGCAGGTGACGGTGGGGCGGGACTAGCGAGAGTATAGAGAGGTGTGTCGTACATCAACGAAAGCTTCAGTTTGACAAGGCTGAGATCAAAGTGGAATGGAACTAAAGAGAAAGCGAGTGAGCGAGAAAGAAAGAGAGCGAGAGAGAGAGAGAGAGAGAGAGAGAGAGAGAGAGAGAGAGAGAGAGAGAGAGAGAGAGAGAGAGAGAGAGAG